TTTGTTACCTACCTTTAATTGAGGTCTTTTCACTGATAAGGAGAGTTGAAAAATGCTCAAATATAAGCTTTTCAATCGAGCATTTTTGGAAAACTCAAAAAAAGCTTTATGGTTTTGATGTGGGCGTTATGCGCTTGAAAAAAGACTGAATATTTTTGGGTTTTCTCATGCGTGAAGTGAAATTAAGCATGCCTATGCATGAACAAGCATAATGGCTTGGAACGCATGGAAACCCCTCTTTGTGTTGGCTGTAGGATAATTGTTTCCCACAGAAAGCAGCAGAACTGCCACCTAGGTAATTATGCTTCGAGTTATCGAAAAACGAAGGCGCGCGCAGCCGACGCGATCTTGAAGAGGCCTTCAAGAGCGACATCATGAGACGTAAACCGATCGTCATCGAGATAAGAAGTGAGGCAAAAACGTCTGAAAAAAGATTCTCACTTGTAGCCTGCACATGAAGTTGCTGTCTTGGAACACATTAACTCCTGTCCATATCGTATAAAGGAATATAGGTATCAGAATTAATAACGCAACAAGATTAGTAATACATAAATGTGCGATAAAATGCGATGAGATGAAGTTCTGATATAGTTTATGAATAATTATGTATAGAAATAGTGCTAGATTGCCGATAATACCAATAAGTGTGAAACAGCCGAATATGATGGCTAACGGTGGAGACGGTGCAGAGACATGCGTCATATTCGCGTAGGCTTCATCAATTTCGGACGAATTCCACATTTTCAGCGACTATAGCCGTTGCCACCGTAGAATTCGAGCGATGAGTTCTGTTATTCGAGGTGACGACGCCACGTCGTCGGCGCGATTCGTGACTGCGTTGTCTGTCGCCTTGTGTCTGACGCGTCTCGTGGTCCTCAGCCCTCGGCTATTCGTAGCCGACTCCGCCTTGTTCGCGACGTGCGTCGACGACGAAAGGGCTACGACGGGCAGGGCGAGCCTCGCGGCTGCATACCGATCGATGGGCTGCTGCTCTCCAGTAGCAGCTGTGCCCCACTTTTCCACGTCCGCACTTCAACTTCAATTCAACGGCGATGATGGTGGACAAGGCAATGACTGATTTGGCCCCATGAAAGGTGGTGATCTCATGATTTGACCAGGTGCAGTTGGTCTGCTGGATCCTTTGATACGGTAGCTGTACGAATGTGCGAATACCGAAGCCCATATTCGATAATATGGTGTTCAATGTTTGCTGAGTGTTGTGAAATAACGGCCAGTTGGCTGGCTGACATAAGCTTTCACTTCAATCGGAGGGAGTGGATATTTGGTGGGTTAGCTGTCTTATACCGCAAGTCTGTCATTTGTCAGTCACGCGGCTCGTTATTGTTGTCCGTCGGAGGTCGTTCTATGGAATGGATGATTGTTTTATTGTCTAGTTAGTGTGATTCCAGAAATAGTCCTTGTGCAATAAATAACAGAAAGCTCCTAAATGGCAATTTTCTCAGAAGTGATTGGGGTATAGTTGTGCTTAGGCTTAGAGTGAGAAACACTAACCAGGAAAGGCATTCAACTTCCCATGGAACTTTGAATTGAGACCCAGATATATCGATAGAGCTTCAAACGCTGATTACAAATATGGAAACTAAAACTGCAAAATGAACCTGCCAAGGAAGTTGTGAGCAGTCAAAGTTGGCTCCAAGTAAGCGTTACGTATTAACCGTGCTAGCCTCCGAGCTTTCAGAGTCGCCGTGGAGTAGTGGGAGTGCTCTCAAAATTTGCACTCCAACAGGAAGAGAACTTATGACCTCCCGGGTGGAGAGCGGGGGCACTATCGCTACTCCGCGGCGACATTGAAAGCCTGGAACATAGCACGGTTCATATGTAACGCTTTACTTCAGCCAACTTTGACTGCTCACAACTTTCCTTGGCACGTCCATTTTGCAGTTTTAGCTTCCATATTTGTAATCTTCTGTCGATATATCTGGGTCTCAATTTGAAGTTCTATGGGAAGTTAAATTCCCTTCCTGATAAATGGCTGGGCTGGCTA